CCTACACGTACTTTTTTCTGACAAAATTGAAGAGGAAAATAAACTTATTAACACACCCACACTTCTCTTTCTCTTATTATCATGAATCAAATTTTTATTTTTATATAATTTTTTTAACACTCATCTTGTATTTCTATCTATGTCTTTCTTTTCTCTTTCCCCAAGGATATACGTTCCACCGGGCAAAGCTGATAGAATGTGTGGAATGATTTTTCATTTTTGTCTTTTAGTTGGAAAAATAGAATTGATTCAATTGAATGACGCGATTCTAGCTCTACCCAGAAGAGCTTGTATATGTAACGTGGAGGCTGAAGAAATAAAATCTGCTAGGGTAATAGTTTAATTGAACTTACTGGCTCCCATTTGGTAATTGTCTGATCTTGAACAGACCCTTTGGCTAAGCCTTCCTTTGGATTTTTCATCATCACTCTCTCACTTGATGATTTTCCAAAATCACTAGTTCGTCCTTCTTTGATCACCTTATTCTGTTGCGCCGCATCGAATGAATCATTGCATGGTTCTTCACGTAGTCCATAATTGCTCACAACTCTCTCTGCTGGGGTTATCTTATCACTACCACCTTCTTTTTGTACCTGACTTGTACTTCCTTGGATTGAATATGATGTTGCCAAATCAATTGAAAAATATGAGTCACTATATTGGTTACTTAACGGTGTGGCCGAATAATCAGAAAGTGGAGTCCATTTATCCCTAAGTGGTCTTCTCTCTTCTAACTTTTATAAAATTTCATCATTACGTTTTTCTTTCTTTTTTAATTCAAGTCCAACAATCTTCATCTTCCCACTCCCAGTATTGTTTCTGTTATGACTTATCCTTGTACTACTATATAATCTCTTGTCCCATCCAGAGTCAAATTTTTCTCTGATTCCCCCACCAATTTGTTGTGCCACCAAACGCATGATCAAATAGTCATACCCTTTGACGCTATCACCAACACTTCCACTAACCCTTGTGTGTTCCACTCGGTGAGTACTCGTAAGTTGCCTTAACAAAGGGCTCGGTTGAGAGAAAGACGGACTTTGGAACAAATGTGGCTCTAAGTTTGCAACGGCACAAGCTACATGTGTATCGAATTCACACATGGTGCACCTATAGAGCCACCCGTTGTAACTAGGTTTGTTGCACAAGTCACAGAAGAAATCATAGGGTGGTGAATACTCAAGCTTGATTTCGTGGGGATGGTAGATGATTGCGAGGGAAACGGGAAGTGCAAGACACAGAGAGTGAAAGAAGATGCTACATTCAGCACAGTGGTAGCAGAAACCTGTCACGTGGTGGCCACATGCCGCGCAGTGGAGGGTGGCTTTGGTGGAAGGTGATGAAGGTATAACAAGGAGGACTAGATCGTGGCTTGGATGAGAAGGGTGGTTTGTGATTAAGGGCATCTTGTAGCACACATGGTGAAGAGAGAAGGAACATGTTTTGCACCGGTAATAATCCTCACCGTGGTTAACTTCTAGCTTGCATCCAAAGCAGGTTACATTTTTTGTGGAGGGTGGGGTGGTACATTCCAAAGGATGTGGATGGCTAAAGTGGAAAACATTTGGGTCCATTTTTCTTTTTGTGAACAATTGAACTTGTCCGTCTCCTTTGTGTGTTGTGTATATGCTATATATTGTTGTTTGTGAGGTGGTTTAATTTTCCCTAGAAAACATATTTAGTTACAGTTTTTAGATACTATTCTCCGATCCGAGTTAAAATTTTATTTTAATTAATAATATATATAAATATATGTCAATGAAACTTATATTAAATACAGGTATATGATAGAATTATATGAAAACAGTACCAATTGCACTTAAAAAACCATCCGCAACTTTTGTCCTTCCCTTACCTACTGTCTTCTTTTTCACTTTCTTTGGTGGAATAATTGAAAGCTAGCTAGCTAGCTGTTACTGGTTTATTTGTCAACAATACTTTTCGGAGTTCTCTAAAAGTTCTAATGTGTGTGTTGGGGGCACGTGGCTGATTATTGATTGGGATTTACGTAATTTTGATGTTTTGGATTGTTCAATTAATTCACCTGTCAAACCGAGGTAAAAGGTTTTGGGTGAAGGATTGGATTTGGATAGCGAGGTGACCGAAGAAAGAGTCATATTTAATTAGGATTTTACAAACAAAGATTCCCACATTTTAGCCGGCGGGTATGCTCTTTCGTTTCACACTTCACACTCATACACCAGATAATGCTTACAACACTTTTCTTTTTAAACTTTTTTCACTAAATTGGAAATATTCTCTAACTTATGGTGCCTCTTTTTATACCCTTCTATTACTTTAAACTGCAGCAGCAACCTCCTGAAACCAACACTGTAACAAGGATTTTGAATTACATTTGTTTTAAATTTGTGTGTTAATAGGGATCGATGCTTACAATTTAGTTCAATTTTCAAAAAAGAAGTAATGAGCCTGTTTCGCTATGGATGACTTACTCTTTCATATCCTGTTGATGGTGCTCTTTGTTATTGCGTTGAACAAATTTTAAGTTGTTATTTATAAACAATAGAAAAGTACCTACAATCTTCCTTGTCTTTTGGGTTTTTGTATAACTTTGAAATATTACAATGGCTTAGAACAAATCCTTGCACATGACATGACAAAATTAATTTTAACTAGTGTAAGTGTATGACTATACACATTTTAAAAGGTGTATATCTAAAACATAGAGTTTTTTCAAAAGTTCTCATGCAATTGGTTATTTTTAGTTTGTTTGAGTTTCTAACTGAGTTACAAATCACAAATAATCGAATCTTTGTTAAGGATAACATAGTTTGTGATGAGATTATTTTATGATATTTATCTGAGATAATATTTTATAAGAGTTATTTTTATCAGAAGAGCATAATTTAATTTTATTCATAAGTCTCTATTTATAGAGAAAATTTGTTATACAAAATCAAATATTGATATTATCCTATTCTAAAAATAAGAAAACAAATCTTAAAATAATCAAAATAGATTAAATCTAAATATTTGAAATATAATTTTCTTAAAGATATTTAGACATATTCCCAAAACTCCTTGACTAAATATCTTTATCACCTAATTTAAATTTGAATTTCAAAATCTGTCTTTTCTCTTTTTGATCAGTTTCTTTTTTTTTGTGATTTTTGTTACAATTCTTCTTGAGTGAAACTACTTTAGCATTTGTCATGAGCTTCTCATTTGAAGGTGATTTTTCATCATCTTCATTCTCCTCTTGATCATCAATCTTCTTTTGAAGACATGCATCTTTGTGCTCTTCATTTGTATTTTCATTTATAATTGGTTCCTCCTTCTCCAAATTTAAAGCAAAATTCTTGCCTTTCATATGGACATTAAATACTTCTTTGTTGTGTATATCTTTAATCACATAGTTTTTGTCTTCAAATAACACTTTATAACCTTTTCCCAACAACTGAGCAACACTCAACAAATTTTGATTAATATCAGGAACATATACAACATTAGATATTAATTTTAAACCTGAATGACTTTTAATAAACAGTGTTCCTTTGCCTTTTACTATAAGGTGTGCTCCATTCCCCGTTTCGACTTTAGAGATATCAGTTTTGTTGAGTTCTTTGAAGAGTTCTCGGTCATAATTCATATGGTTTGTACAACCACTATCAATAATCCAAGCTTTTGAGGGTTTTTTGGTCATAAAGCATGACATTAAAAGTATTTGTTCTTCTTCCTCTTCTTGTTGATCTTCAACAATGTTGGTTTCTTCTTGTTGCTCATGAGATTTGCATACATATTTTAGGTGTCCTAATTGTTCGCACTTGTCACATTTTAAATCAGGTCTCCACCAACATTTCTGTTATGGATGATTAGTCTTTTTGCAATAAGGACATGGTGGAAAATTTTGAGTGTTATTATTTTGAATGTTCTTTTGGAACAATTCTTTCTTCTTGTTTTTGCCACCATTGTTGTTCTTTCATTTGGCTAAATATACACCTTCCATAGATCTTTCTTCTCTCATAAGCCTCCTTTGTTCTAATGCTTGCAATGCATGTAATACCTCTGCCAAAGTGATCTTACTCAGATCATTTGTGTTCTCCAAGACCGCTATTGAAGCTTCATATCTTTCAAGTATAGTTACTAGTATTTTTTCAACAATTCTAGAATTAAGAAATTGTGTTCCTAGTAATCCACTAGTGGAAAAAAGACTTTTAAAATCGGTTATTTTTTACTTTTAAAATCGGTTCTTTAACCGATCTTGAAAGAGCCGATTTTAAAAGTTAGACTTTTAAAATAAGTTAAACAACCAATTTTAAAAGTCAACTTTTAAAATCGGTTGTTTTATAACCGATCTTAAAAGTCTAGATGTGGGAAAAAAATAAACTGGAACAGGCCGTTCCAAAACTAGAACAGGTCGTTCCAAAACCGGAACGGGACGTTCCAGTCTGATCAAAATGCCTAAAAGGTAACTTGGAGAACGACCCGTTCTCCCTGGAGCACGTCCCGTTCTCTTTGGAGAACGCCCTGTTCTCCATGGAGAACGACCCGTTCTCTTTGGAGCACGGCCCGCACTCCTTGGAGAACGGCCCGTTCTCCTTGCAGAACGGGCCGTTCCAGTTTCGAACCCAAACTGGACCTACAACACAAAGACGAGAAATCATGAAAAAACGAAAAGAAATAGAAAAAGAAGACGAAAATGAAAACGAAAACGACAACGAAATTTACCTTATTGGAGACTTTAAAAAATGAGAGCTTTAGGGAACACCAAATTGGAGCTTGAAGAATTTTCTTGTTTTGTTTATTTACTCTTTCTTTTGTTCTTTTAAAATCGGTTATTTCAGAACCGATCTTAAAAGTGCCACTTTAAGATCGGTTCTTTTATAACTGATCTTAAAAGTACTTTTAAGATCGGTTACCTTATAATCGATCTTAAAACTCCGATTTTAAATCTAATTCTTGCACTAGTGATTGTATCTTATTAGCAATGCCAAGCAATTTGTCAAAGTATTGTTTGATTGTCTTAGTCTCCTTCATTCTTTGTATTTCAAATTCTCTCATTAAATTTAATACTTGCATGCTTCGAATCCTTTCATCTTCAGCATATTCTTTCTTTAGATAATCCCAAATTATTTTTGCCGATTTGAGAGTCATAATCTTGGTGAAAACATTTTGTGAAACACAGGCAAAGAGATAACTTTTTGTCTTTGCCTTCTTGATTTTCTTTTCCTTGTGAATTTTCATTTGGACTACAGTAGGATTGTCTGACAACGCGAAAACATCATAATCTTCTTCTACGGCTTCCCAGAGATCTAAAGCTTCTAGGTATGCCTCCATTCTCACTGCCCAAAGATCGTAACTTTCTCCATCAAAAATAAGTGGGGAAATTTGTGAAAAGTTTGTTTCTGCTTTCATCTCCAAGATCGTAACCTTAGCTCTAGATATCAATGATGGGATTATTTTATGATATTTATCTGAGGAAATATTTTATAAGAGTTATTTTTATCAGAAGAGCATAATCTAATTTTATTCATAAATTTCTATTTATAGAGAAAATTTGTTATACAAAATCAAATATTGATATTATCCTATTCTAAAAATAAGAAAACAAATCTTAAAATAATAAAACAGATTAAATATAAATATTTGAAATATAATTTTTCTAAAAATATTTAGGTATATTTCAAATGGTTTGTTTAACGAGGGTAAAAGGAAATTCCTTGTTCCTCTGGTACGTAGGTTCACTACTGCAATGAGTAGAAGCAACTATTAATTAGAAAAGTTTAAGCACTAATATCTTGAGAGATTAAGTGTATGTTTATTATATTGTTAAAATTTAAAAGATGTACACTAAATAGAAAAGATAGGAATAGTTATTTTATATTTTAGTACTTTAAAAAGTATAATTTTATGTTTTCGTTAAAAAAATAGTTTTTCAAACACGCTGTAATCCGGCTGCGGTGGTCTCTTTTAACAGTAGCAGAGCTTTTCGAGGCCAATTTTTTAATTGTCTTTTGTTTTGGGATATTATTGAGATCTAGAAAACTGTGATGCCAAAGATACGAAGGTGAGATGAAAGATCAAGTGTTTCTAAGAATTCGTGACAACAGAGACACGAGCAAAGGGAGGAGTCAAGTGTGCTTGTGTCTCTATTTCTTAAAGCCCACATTGGAGAATGTATTGAGTGAAAGTGAACTACTAATGTTATAAATTAAAACAGCTTTCAGCATAAAATAAACACAGAGACAGAGTCGTGTGATGAATATAAAGTGAATTATATTCTTTCGTCTTTTACTAAAGAATACCGTGTATCCTCACACTATATGGCATATGCTAATTTTTGAAAGAGTCTTCCTTTCAGGTATTTAAAATTTTATAGAATTCAAGTATATTTAAAATTTGTTATAGAATTTTATATTTTTCCTAATTTATGTAGTTAATTCAAATTGCTTGTTGTGGTTTTTAAATTTTTTAAATTTCAATTAATAAAGTCTTTTTTACCTTTGCACTAAATCAGCATATGATAAATTGCTTTTGTAGTTGTCTATCATTTTTCATTGAAATGTACATTTATCATAACCTTTGTATTAAACCAGCATAGGATAAATTTCTTTTGTAGATTGTCTATTTAGTTGTATAATTATGGTTTCAATTAATTTTAATTTTTGATTTTGTAAAATTTTTAATTTTGGTTTACTTGTTAATGTTTATTCGGACACTAAATGAATGTGATATGATAATTAAATTTAATTTTTGGTTTATTTATAATATTCAATTCATAATATTTTTTACTTTTAATTATGCAATTTTAATTCACTAAACGTAATTTATAATTTAAAAAGTAGTAAATATATATATATATATATATATATATATATATAATATCATTTAATTTGTTTGAATCATATTATAAACACTATTATGTATATAAAAACAATCTAGTAAAAAATATTATATATGTAAAAAGGTAAATATAAAACTTTAAGCTACTCATTTAATATTAAATATAGTTTTAAAATAATAAAAATAAAATTTCAAAATACTTCTTTATTATTTTATATAAATATAAATTTATGAATTTAAATAATAAATTGATATACTAAAAATAAATATAAAAATAATGAATAAGTATTTTAAAATTTTATATTTATTGTTTTAAACTAGGTTAACATTAACTAAGAATTTAAAACATATATATATATATATATTTACTTTTGTTATATGTAATATAATATTTATATAATTATTTAAACAAACTAAATGATTTAATAATTTGTGTACTAAAAGAAAAGGAGGTCTTGCAATCAAATTCTCCTTCATTTACTTTTACTATTTTATAGATCACAAATTCCTATTAAAATCACGGAATTAAAAAATATAATTAAATAGCTGATGTCTTGATGATAATATATATTAAAATTTTATGTGCTGATGATATATTGACAACTTTTAAAAAAAAAAAAGTTAAAAGAATGTTATACTGCTGATTCACAAGTTAAATAGATCCAAAACAAATATAATGTCATAGTTTATGATGAGAGTTGTACGTCCTCGGAAAACAGTCATATATTTTTCAGTTGAAAGAAGTATATGTACATCATTTTGTCGCCCTATTTTTTATATTAGTGGATGAGGTATCATTATATCAATACTCAGGAAGGTATTAACTATTAAAAAATATACGTTTTTCATGTGTTATATAGGGCATCATGATTTGACTGAGGTTTCTAGATTAATAATAGTATACATTCATTACAAATTATATTTATTGGCCAAAGATTCTAGATTAACTAATAGTATATTATTATAATAAAACTCATTTGGAACAAGTGGCTTTGATCTGAAGTCAGGATTCAATTGTGTCGGCTGTGGCTACCTTATATATTTATCATTATAAAGATGTATAAAATGAACAAAAGAAATAAGCACGAACCTAAACAGAACATTTTCTTTGCTTTGGCTCTGGCTCTGGCCATCTTTGATCTGGGTGAGAGAAACGCGTATCGATTTGGTTCATGATCATGGCTCATACTCTTCCCACCACTTACCAATTAGATTTGGAGATGTTGTGTTGAGGTTTCATCGATACGGGTCGCTCTCACCTAGACTAAAGTTGCCCAAATTTTTATAACATTGTTCATCAAAAGCTGCTAAGTTTCTCATAAGTTCCTGCCTCTTCAGTCTCACCTTTCTTAATTCGTCTGTGACAGTGAGTTTTCACTTCTTTAATTTGCTTGCAAATTCTGATGGATTAATGTGATGTCGTGTGTGTCTCTCTAATCTTTTGTCTGAGCTAATAATTAATTAGTTTCCAGTTCTTACTAATTCTTGCTTAAGTTTTATGTCAGTTTTTTTTTTATCTTGATCTTGTGAAATTTAGTTTTGCTGGAAAATTGTTTGACTATTTGTATAGTATATTTCTTCCACATCAGGTGAAAGTTTCAGTTAGTTTAGAAGAAAAATGAAGATTTAGCATAAACTAATATGATTTGGAAGTACAAAAGTTACTCACAAGTCACGGTATAACAAATTACTCTTTTACAACATTGCTAATAAGATATATATTTAGTTTATTTATTTATTATTTATTTGAATTATTGTGTTATGATAGTAAAATTTTCATTTATGTGAAGTAAAAAAAGAAAAGTGAGTTCAGAAAAGAAGTCTGAACAGGACGAGTTTTGAATCAGAAGGCTGGACTGAGAAATTCAATCAAAATAGGGAACTAGGCGGACATTATCCACAAGAAAGTAGTTTCAACTACAAGAACCATGCCAAAATAAGTTATTTGAAATCATAAACGGATTGATATAATGTAAAAAAAATATTTTGTGGATTCTTAAACAACAGTTATTTTCACAATAAAATTGTACTTAAAAATATTTGTTTTCTTGATCTAGGAAAGGTTTTATACAGCAAGTTTCTTCCACTTTACTCACAAACTTATTTTCAACTCATTAATGTTCCAAGCCCAAATATTTCATTTTGTTTCTCTCACAAATTTCAACTCACTTCTGTATATGTAAGGATTTGATTAACATACGTTGAAGGCACTTAACTTTTTTTTTTTGAACTGGACTATCAACCTTCAATGTACCTCTGTCTACTACTTCAATATTGTTATGTCCGAGTGGTCCCTTCAACCAGTTTATATCTCCTAAAATATTTCATTAATCACTAGACTTATTTGAGATTACATCAATTATCAGAACAAAGCAACACCCGTTTATAACTGAGATGAATGAAGATAATTGAACAATGTGCTATGTGTGTGATGTTTGCAAGGATTTTGCTATTAATCGTGGGTGTGATACTCTACCTAGTAAGGCACATTTATGACAAACATCCTCTAGGTCCAAACTATTTGTTGAAAGGGATTTGAGGGAATATGAATGTGTCATTTGCAATGAGAAAATGTCTCCAAAAAATGATTTTAGTACTGTTATGACTGTGACTTTTCTGCTCATCCTTATCATGTTGTTGGCAAGATTAGGCGTGTAAAGTTGGGAGGCAGATTCCAATATGATGATATACAAAGTATTTGATGAAACACCAGTATGAAGCAAATGTGTTAGCCCCTTTCAGCAGTTTCTTCTTACTATGTTTTCGGATATTGAGATCTACAAACAATAATGCTGAGGATATGAAAGTGAGACAAAAAAAAAATGGAACATTCAAGCAAGGAACTAGGGATGATTGTGGCACAAGATATGACACAATACTAACAGAACAAACTGGGAAGAGTCAAGAGGACTTGTGTCTACGCATCTTACTGAAGTCCATATTGTATATTGTTATGAACACAAAGCGAAATATTCTTTCTTTTAAAAAGAATATCACTTGTCCTTTACATAAAACGACATGAGCCTATTTTTAAGAGAATTTTTCATTATTCAGCGACCCTGCTACAGTTAATTAAATTTATATATTATATAATCTAGTTGATGCTTGCTTTATAATTATTGACCTATTTTTTAGAATGATTTTCATTGTTGAAAAATCCTACTGATCAATTAATAAAGTTTATTTTATATATATTAAGTAAATGGTTTATAATTCTTTTAATTATAAATTTAAGTTTCTTGTTTAAATTTGTTCTATAGTTTTACTGAACATGACTGGTTTGATCAATTCAGTTGGGGAACAAATATTCTGATTTTAGGATGCCTTTTTAGTTTTATTTTAAAAATGCAATTAACATTAACATAGTTTAGTTAGTTTTATGTAATAACATAGTAGGGTGTTATATATAATTAAAATGGTATATATTTATTTTAAGTTTTTTTTTACTAATCAAAAAGTAAAAACATTTCTATTATCTTTCATATAAAAATGTGTTTCAAAGTACTCTTCTTTTTTTCAAGTGTTAATTTTAGTTTTATTTTTCACTGTTAACAATCATATAATTATTTCCCACTTTAATATAATTAAATCATAGAAATAAAATTATAAATAGGTTACTCTTCCTTGTTATAATTTGAATTTCACTTGATTTTAAATTTACATTTTTGTTGCATTCATTATTTATTTGTATGATGATTGTTGTATAAAGGCAAACATCTGACTAACCAAATCCTACACCCTTCACTAATTAACATTAAATTAGGAAAATCTAAGTCCTACATCAAAATAAAATATTTGAAGTAATAATTATTTTATATTTTATAAATAATAAAAGATTGAATTAGACTCAAATTTATAATGTTTATAAGATTGAATTAGATCAAAATTTACATTTAAAAATGGTATCACAATTATCTTATAACTAATAAAAAGGTTATTATCATCGTGTATTCAAATATGCTATTAGAATTATTCAAAGATGTACATCTATCAAATTCAATAATGTTGGGTGTGAGTCGTGTGACTTGTGAGGGTGCATATTGAAAAAAATTCAAATCTTGCTTATCTTAAACCCATTAAAAGGAATATCCACCATTTATTCATGCATTAAGTCAAAAGTTACTCACCATATATACATGCAATAAGCACAATAATGTTTGATGTGAGGGTATGTATTTGAAAAAATTCAAGTCTTGACTATCCTAGATTCATTAAAAAAGATCACCTATCATTTATTGACGCACTAAATTTAATAGTATTAGGTCAAAAAACACAGTCTAAGATGGTATCAGAAATAATTTAAATCTATTAAAAAGGTCACCCACTATTTATACACACCTCAAACCCAATACAATAGTGCTAGGTGTGAGAAAATATATTAGGAAAAAAAATGAAGTTTCACCTATCCTAGATCCATTAAAATAGGTCACTCATATTTATTCATGCATCAAGTTCAAGTTCAATAGTGTTGAATTTAAATTCACATTCTAAGATGGTATTTAAGTTATCCTGGATTTATTAAAAAAATCATCCACCATTTGTGCATACATCATGGTTAATAGTATTATACTTGAATCACATTCTAAGATGATATCAGAGTTATCTCAAATCTATTAAAAGGGTCACTAACCATTTATACATACATTAATCCTACCATTTATTCACACACCAAATCCATTATTGTTGAATACAAACTCACATTTTAAAATGATTTCATAATTATCCTAGATATATTAAAAAGGTCACTCACCATTTATATACACACCAAGTCCAATAGCCTTGAGTGTGAGGAGGTATTTGGAACCCATGTCCAGCTTATCCTAGATTTATTAAAAAAAAAATTGTCACCTACATTTATCTACATATCAAATTTAATAGTGTTGGGTCCAAACCTACATTTTAATATGATATTAAAGCCATCTTAAATCTATTATAGAGCCACCAACCATTTATACATGCAACCCAATAGTGTTGTGCCTAAACTCACATTCTAAAATGCTATTAGGATTATCCTAAACATATTAAATAGGTCACTTATCATTTATACATACACCAAACTCAATAGTGTTTGAGTGAGAAAAAAAAACTCAATTTTTGCCTATCTTAGGTCTATTTAAAAGGGTCGCTTACCATTTATTCATGCACCAAGCGCAATATTAAATGGTTAGATTTTGTAGAATTGAGCTAGACTCAAACAATCACATTCTAAGTGTTAGGATACAAACAAATTCTACATCAATAAAATAAGAAAAGAATAATCATTTATAAAATATAAACATATTCCAATAATTAAGAGGTCTTTTGGGTAATAACCAAAAGTAAAATCGTGAGGGTTTAGGCTCAAAGCAAACAATATCTCATCATTGTGGAGTTGTATATGAAATAATCTTATAAAAATAACTCTTATATAATATTCTCTTAGATAAATATCATAAAATAACTTCATCACTAAAATGGTATCAAACCTAATATTATTCTATGTGAGGGAGTGTATTTGGAAAAATATCTAGTCTCACATATCCTAAATCTATAAGAAAGAATAAAAAAGTTCATCTATCATTTATCTATTTACCAAACTCAATATCAAAAGTGTTAAGTTTTATAGAGTTGATTTAAGCTCAAACCTGTATTTTAAGATAATATCAATGCTATCTTAGATCTTTTAAAAGAGTTATCTATTATTTATATATATACCAAGTCTAATAGTGTTGAAAATGAGAGAATATATTGAGGCAAGTTTTACATGTCCTAGATCTATTTAAAAGGATAATCCATTATATATTTATCAATGCATAAAATTTAATAATATTGAGTGTGAAATAGTATACAAGTAAGTATAATCTTTATCTTACAAATTAATTTTTATAAGAGGAAGTTAACCGTGTCGATGTAAAAGCATTCGAAGTTGAACACCCAAATTGTACGTGCAAATTGTGTTTGTTTCACATTACTACTGCACTGCAATGAAGCCACCTACTTTTGGTTGGCATATCACTGCCAATACACTACATGTCTTTAATATAAAGGTCAGTGTATAATAAATGACTACAATAACTCTTCAACATAAGGATCAATGTGTAAAATATTTTTACATAATACAAGTGTATAACTTACCTCAATACATATTTAACACTGGATAGCTAATATCTAACATTTCAATGCGTCAACTACCACTTATTTATTATAATATATGATTAGATGTCTGTATTACATAATTGAATTTCAAAAGTTTAATTTCTTCCATGTCAGATGCTTATTAAGTTAGCAAAATCTTCCTTATCAAGATAACCATGAATGATTTTGCTAGATAATATGTTATGATATAAATTAAATGTAACAGACGAAAATAATATATCTATCTATCTATATATATAAAAAAAATTGTGAGAGTAATTAAATGGGGCTTAATTACATTCCAAGAATTCAGTAATTGAAGATTGTGAGTGATTTTAAAATTATGGAACAAATTTGGCAATGTTGTGAGT